AGGGAGAGGGAGAGAGGTATACTTTCAAAAGTTGGAAGTATTGTCCTTATTTTGAGTTTGTCTCAGTCAAAGATGCAAAGAACATTGTCGTCCATTGTAAACCTCGTCCCAGCAGCAAAACGCTTTCAACCGCGAAAAATACAACATCGAATTTATTGAAGCATCTGAAACGGCAGCACAGCAGCAAGAGAAGGAACAGACTGTCTGATAAGAGATTTGAGAAGCTTCTGTTAATGAGATACAATTATTGTTTCACTTATGAACACTGGGACCTTGTTTAATATGTCAGGGCAGAGACAACAAAACAGGAAGCTGGACACGATATCAGCCTACATGTGATGCAACGTTTAATGTTTTGTAAAACCATCAAATACTCCTTGCTACTCTTATGAGAGAATACTTTAGTTAAAAAGTTGGGAGAGACTGTTACTTTATTTATTTATATATTTATTTATTTATAGAGGCTGCAATGTTTGTGGTTATGCAGTTTGATTGTTGACTCCTCCTCTGTAAGGTTAATTGTTCCAATAAAGTGGATTCATTTGTAAAAGGAGCTGGCTAAACAGGTTGTACATCACTTTTAAGGGGGGGTGGGGGTGGGGAGCCAAAGTAATATAGGAATATAACGAGTAATGTAACTCATTACTTTGGTTACCAAGTAGTAAGTAAAGTAACACTACTACTTTTTAAAGGAGTAATAAGTAAAAAGTAACTTCTTCCTGAGTAACTTGCCCAACACTGTCCATTAGTCATTGTTATGGTTAGTCATTGCATTGCAGATTTCTTTACACAGGGTACATTATATGGCTTGCATTTCTACAAGTACATGTTTACTAAAGTGATTCAGCCTAAGTATTGTAATCTGCAAAAGGGTACAACAGCAGCAGGCTCGTCCATCACTACCCCACAGAGACTAAACCACACTCCTCCACCACTACCCCACACAGCCTAAAGCCTAAACCAGGCTCCTCCATCATTACCCCACACAGCCTAAACCCTGAACCAGGCTCCTCAATCACTACCCCATACAGCCTAAACCAGGCTCCCTAAACACTGAACCACACTGACTAAACCAGGCTCTTCCATCACTACCCCACAGAAACGACACCAGTTTTCTGCCCTTATACCTGGAAAGGCCTCAGCGACTCCAGCATTAGCACCACCGCTCACTGCCATTTCTGTCTCTGGAGAAATTTTATTGTAATTTCAGTTTTTTAACACAAGCAGAACATCATCCTTAAGGTCATAAATTATTCCTTAATATATTTTACAATCTCCTGGACACAAAACTTAAGCTTTAGTCTAAAAAAATCAAAATGTTTTGGAGCTTGAGCCCTAGTGTAGGCTTTAGTTTACAGGCAACGAGGTCAACACAGCTGCTCCAGCTGGTGCACAATACTGCTGTAGTCTTTTCTCTACTAAACCTAACAACTGTTCCTTAAAATTGTTTTTACGCAAGCCTTAAGCCTGTCAGGTGAATTTAACTCTCACACTTAAGCATATTATTTTATTGGTTAAACACTCGGAACATAATAAACCTATCTTATCTGACCGTAAAGCAAGAAAGTCGTTGATAAAGGCTTTTAACTAAGAGCTCCCTGTACTGTTTAATACAACAGTTTATCTCAGATATCACGGAGCGGTGGCAATGTCACTGCAGGAACCACAAGGAACAAGATCAGTGCGTGCTAATCTCCGATGTCAAACGGCCATCTGATAATACCCCGCTCTCAAATTCCACTGAGTCAAGAACGAAAGGAATCTGTAACCCGAACACTTTCCTGCGTCTCCACAGTGATGTTGCTGAAAAGCTGGCTGTCTCGCTTTTAGATTCGTGTAATAGTCGTCTCTGTATGCGCCCTACGCCCTATGCCTGCTATTCATACGAATAGCTGTCTATTGAAACAGCGCAAGTATGTATTTAAATGGTGTCGACGTGAACAGTAAAAGATTCCTCATATGACAAGAGTTTAGTTTCGTTCACATTGAGACGGTTTCGGAGCTCACCCCTGTTTAAATGTTATGGACTTACGTGCTGCTATGCGACGACGGTGTACCCTACAATAATGTATTGTCATTTCTTCTAAAGAAACGACAAGTCGAAAGTACATTTGGCACTTAACCCTCGTGTTGTCTTCAGGGTCAAAAATGACCCGAGACCATGTTTAAGGGCACATAAAACCCCCAAATCATCTTTTTTCATCTTGAAATTTGATGACTTTTCCTCCAGTGACCCAAACATTAGAAAAAGTGAAAGATTGCCTTTGTTCATATTTCCATGACAGCTGTACACAAAAAGGGTCCAAAGATTGTCCTAGGGGTCATTTTTGACCCGGTAGTTATACAGTCATTTACACACCACAAAAAACACAAAAGCACACACAGACACACACATACACATACACATACACACACACACACAATGAGAAGTTGAGATTATGTGTGCTACTGACTGAACTCAGACAAAACTATAACTTTCTTGCGCATGTGCAGCATCTCCCTCCAATGACCCCATACATGACTCCAGTTCACAGACAAAACAAAACAATTTCAGACAAAACAAACATTTCTTGAAATTTTCTAATTTTCCAACAAACATTTCTAATTGCTTACTAAGATAAGATAAGATTGAACTTTTTAGCCAAATTTTTGTTGTAAAAATTACATTTTTGTTTTGTATTTATTATCTTATTTTCTTCTTATTTATTGTTATTGTTTGTACACTTTGTGGGTGGGGGAGTGGTTAAAAATGAGAAAAGTATTCTGTGTTTTTTAGTATCACTGTGTTGCCAAAACTGTTATTGTTCACCTTCAATAAAATACATTCATAAGTACTTTCTGCACATTTCTGCTACTTTCTTAGGCTATATAAGTGCCATCTCTTGCTGCAAAATTAATGTTTACACCTATGCAGTACCTTTAGCAAGAATAATAGTAATAATAATTAACCTGTACTTATTATGACAGGTGTGTTATAATAAAAACGAATGGTGTCCACTGATTAAATGCAGTCTTTCTGCAGTGTGAAGAGGCAAAACCCAGATATTCACAAAGTTTGTGGTGAATGACAGGTTGTTTCATCATGCAAAATAGATTTGAGACTTAAAATTCAATTAAGCTGCTGTATTTTAGGGGTTTAGTGAAGGCGGGTCATTTTTGACCCTGAGGACACGGGGAGTATACAGAAAGTGAAGACAGCACGAGGGTTAAGTAACACTACAGTCAATATTAAACAACAAACAACAGCCATCTCAGTCGTAGGCTCATAGGTTGTTATAGCTTTTGGCGTGATTTGCCCCTGTGGTCAAGCTGTTACCACGTCTGAATAGAGTGGTCAGTCCATTGACATTTAAAATGTGGGTGCGCGATTGCGTGGAACGTGTTGTCGCGTATGCGGTCAATAAAATCGATCATTCTTGAAAGGTGTTTTTTTTTCTTTTTGATCTAAAATCACTTAAATCTGCTTCATTGGTCATATTTAAATGTCAAAAAAGCGAAAAAACTGTGTTAGGCGATTTAAATTACTAGGCCAAGTGTTTGTATTTCATGTGATTTAAATTATTTTAATTTAACACTTACAAGGGAGAGAAACAACTCTAACATCAACTCATCAACTCTGGCACAACTCTTTCATATCCAACACATCCAAACGTTTTTGTAATTCAACACCTGAATCATATAATACGTGCTGTCAGGTATGCACGCCCTTAGTGTCAGTCAATTTTACTGCGAAAGATGTTAATTGTTGTTATGTCTCAATATGAGACACTGTGTTCACATAACAAACTAAATGTGTAATAAGTGTAATTCCGCGGAAACTGTTTGGTATATTTCAGTTACAGTCTCTGTTTCTACATTGCGTTCTAAATTAAGGACTATTTTTTGATGTTATCTGATCATAAAACAGCGTTAATTAAACCTTCCAAAAGAGCCTTTTGGAAATGTGGTCAATATCGATGAAGACGCAGCAAGATGAGTCATACTCCAGCATCCAATTGTAAAATAATGTGAATAATAAACTGATATGAGACGCTGAGTTTGTTGATGACGATGTGAAAGGTGAACCATGGCAATGAAATCAAAGTTGTAACACAGTTAATCCTGCCACCTTTGTCCTTCCACCTTTTGTACACCTTTTGACTGGCAGGGTACGGAATCCCGTGCCGGGAGCGATAACATGCATCTGACGTCACGCACTCAGTCGGGATTCGGATCGGAAGATACGGTTGGACAGCGTCCTAGAATCGCCATCTTCAAAGTTTCAGTCCATCTACAAAGTTTCTCCGTTCTCCTCCCGTTGTGTTGCTCTAATGCGCATCCAAATACAAAAATGCATCATTTAAGAAATAAAACATTACTCAAGGAATGAAATATTTAACTATACGACACATATAACACATTTTTGAAACATTTGTAAACTATTTAAAACAATTGAAATGTAAATGGTAACTGAAAAACGTAAGGCTTCTTCAATATTTTTCAATACGTGATTTTTGGGACATTAATATGTAGAGTCATTTATAGCCAATGAAATAACAAATATGGGAATAAATTCGGTGTTCAGTTTTGTTAAATGTGACCTAATAATTATATATTTTGCGTCATTGTTGGAAAAATGCATTTTATACTTATGGAAGAAAACAATGATTGTAAACGTGGTGGGATATGACATCCAGAACATACAGAAAACATATTGCGAAGTCATAAAATGACAAACACATTTATGGTTCAACTTTCTGACGCTGATTATTCCACGGGGACATAGTGGGAATAAGTGTTCTTTATGGGGGGCGCTTCCCTGTTGCCCTGCAGGTTGCTGTCCAGGTGTTGGTGCATCTGCTCTGAAAGCAGGCATGAGCTATGCATACCTGGCAGCTAAGTGGGTCCAAATTATAAAGACAGATTATAATAAACACAGATAATGAAGATCGATCATACTAAACCGAAATTATAAAAGCACATTATAACAAATAGAAATTACGAATTATAAATTATTATACGGCAGTGTGGCGTAGTGGCAATGTGTAGGGCTCTTAACCGAAAGGTTGCTGATTCAATTCCTTGCTGGGGCGCTGCCGTTTAGCCCTGCAAGGTAATTGTCACGGAATGTCACGTAGGCAGTTACCTCGCTACTGTTCTGATAAGGAACATCACAATAAATTACTGCAGAGTAGGGAATCAGAGCTTTGTCTGACTGCAATTACAGGCTACCCATCTGGCCGAAATTGACTGAACGAGGGAGGATTGTCATTGAAACAGGCCCTCAAGCATCTGCGCTTGCCCTGACGTTCACAGTTTGATCTCGTCCGCGTGCAGCTACACACATTTACGTTTCTGTCTTTATAGCTAACGTGTAACATTGCTGTTATGTGCTTACTGTCAATGGACTGCAGAAGCAAATTAGCTACATGGCTAATTCTGGTGCAACTAATGTGTTGTGCATAGTCACTCCTAAATGAACGAATAAACTAAACTAATGTCTTGTTGTCCTAATGTTCTGTTGCTCATTTTGAGGCAACAAATTGAGGTCCTTTTACTGTCTGGGGTCACCACTTCTGGGGTCATCTGTAACAGGTAGCTATATGGGAAGAATGAAGGTGACTGGTGATCATTTCTGAGAGAACAGCTATACGTGCAATTGAAACTGTACAAAAACCCCAGGGTCAAAATCCAGTTAGACAACTAGCCGTACATGCATCACACAGAAATATGCAGTTTCTTCTCCCTTAAAGCTCCCCTGCCGCTTTTTTTCTTCCAGTAAATGTCTCGGTATTGGTCAATATTCATCTTGAAAAGCAAAAGCAAATTCAAAAGCAATGTATAACATTTGATATGAGGGTGATATATAAAATGTCATATTTTGCTGGCACAATGTCAGATGTCATATTTGAAATGATGGATATGTTTCTGATGGATTTGTTTGATACAGAAAATTCTTTGAAACCCAGATGATGATGTAACACCCCTACGTGTCACCTTCCCGAGATCTAAGCACGCAATGACTCAGAGTAAGGACACATAGATGACTGATGCACAGGTGCCAGGCAGATATGTTTTCCTTGAAATGTTCCTTTGATGTATGGCCCCCTCAGCTGCAGTGTTGACAGGTCTGTGTGCTTGTTGAGCACTTGACCACTGATCAAGGCTGTGATGGGATGAGGAACTGAGGAGAGAATTTAGCATCTATTCTATGGTTTAGAACCTAACATTGCTCATTCTATAAGCTCTAGCTCTTGGTTCATGAGTTGCCTGGCCTGGGGCAAAATCAATTAATACAACTGAATAATCTTACATCTCTATACCCCATGCCCCTCCATCTCTAACCCTGCAACCCCTCCATTTCTAACCTTGTACCCCTCCATCTCTCACCCTGTACCCCTCCATCTCTAACCTCATACCCCTCCATCTCTCACCCCATACCCCTCTATCTCTCACCCTGTACCCCTCTATCAGGAACATGATGAGGGGAGACTTGTGTAGCAGCAGAGCCACTAACAAACATGAGTTATGAGAAAAATTATGGAGAGAAGGCATACAGAGTACCATACAAACATCAAAGTGCCATTCGATCCACATACCAGAGGACACCCGTCACCAGCAAAACTTGAGTATTTGTTTGTCTACCAAACATATGGACACCCATCGTGTCCGTATGTAATATCCAACCAGAGACTGTACTGGGGGTTAATTTTCCTTTACTTCATTTTCCAGGGAGCTTTGAAAGTTACTTAAAGATGGGGTTGGCAATGCTTAATTATACAATATAATGGCATATTTTCTACTCCAAATGTAGGTTAATTAGGGATTAATTATGGTATTCTTACATTAATAAAAACAGGTGATTATGGGCTTGCAGTTGTCAGCATTTCACCTGTTTTTATTAATGTAAGAATACCATAATTACACTTCAATTATTCGTCTCAGGTGTTCACATTGGTCAAGAGGGCAGATTTGTATTGCCAGCTCCATCTTGATCCATTATGAACTTTCCCCATTATCCTGACTCCAACAGCACAGTGTGTTGCACTCACCCCACTTACAGAGGACCTGCGGTTACACAGGTCCTGATCTGGGGACATTTAGGGGATAGCAGTATTTGCTGTCCTATGATTCAACCCCCCCGGCACACAGTCACTGAGGTACAGTGCTGCACAGGTTAAACAAAATTTCATCTCAACATGAGACTAGTCAGTAATAAATTATAGCCGTGTGCTTTCTGTTCAAAAATGAAGAAGATAACAAGTAGATATAAAATTATGTAACAAATATTGTATAATACTGTGAAATAGTAATAAGAGGATACAGCATACAAGGGAATGCACCTGTGTGCATGTCTGAATGTGTGTGTGTGCATATGTGTGTGCACCTGTTTGTAATTACCCTCCTGCGCATGAGACCTGATGCTCTGACAGATACTGCAGGGTATTCTCATAGCGCTGTGTCACAGGAGAGTGCAGACAGGACCAGTGGAGCTCAGCACTGGGGATGTGCCAGAAAGCAGCTGCATGCACTGTCACTGCTGCTCAGAGCTGAGACTCCTGCTGGGACTGTTCTATGGTAATTCGGGATCTCCAGATGGTGCTAGGGAGTAGGGTGCCTCAAGGATCTTCCAGCCCAGCATCCTGCATTCAGAAGATGAGTGTGTGTTATTCAAGATTGCATCCAGATCTAGCTGTCTGTCTCCTGACTTCAAGAATTCTTTGAATTCTTTGAATTTAAACTTTGAGAGCACTTCAAAGAATATCCATCTGGTTCCACGTCTAGGAACCTGGAAATCAGGTGTGGAATAGATCTGAACTCAGTAACTTCCTATTATAGCTCCCTGTTCTACAGAGCTTGTTCAGATAATGCTTTGAGCAAGGAGTCCACCTCATGGTCAAATCTGAGAACTAAACAAAACAGCAATTTGGTGATGAAGTTTTTGGCAATGAGGACATAACAGCCAGATCAGTGTTGACCAGCAATGAAATATTAACTTGGAAGGAATCCCTATTTTATTAATTTATAGAGCTATATTTACTGAGGCAATTTGGGGTTAAGTACCTTGGCCCAGAGTACAGCAGCAGAGCCCCTTTGGGGAATCAAACCAGCAACCTTTGGGTTACGAGCCCTGCTCCTCACAACTGTGCTACACTCTTCCCAGTGTGAGTTTCACTGAAGCAACTCGTAATTTTATAATAAGGAAAACTTTTTTCTGGCATCATTTATGAATGGCTGCTATTGTGTGTTTGCCCATTTTGCCCATCAATTGATTGAACTTCTTTTTCATAACATGTTGCTGTGATTTCATTCCAACCTGAATTACAATGGAAATGTATTCATTTTTACTGACCTGTAAAATGTCATAAATAAATCTTTTTTTCCCCTTTATGCAACTGCTCTGGAATCCCCAATTGTATATTCCTATGTGACTCTTTATAGGCTATTAATCCATTCTGCAGGTAAGCAGATGCAAGTCCATTTAAGGCCTTGCAAACTAGGAGCAGCACATTGAAAGCAATCCAATATTTTACAGGTAACCAGTGAGGCTATGCTATAGCAATTTATACTGTAGTATAATAATAATATGCTCACATTTTTAGGTCATCAAGATTCTTGCCACAGCATTTTGAACCAGTTGCAATGAGTTTAAAGTAGCATTCATGCATCCAGATAAAATTACATTACAGTAGTCTAACTGTAACAAATGAGGACTAGTTTTTTCTGTGTCTTTCATGGACAGAAAAGCCCCAGTTCTAGCAATATTTCATTGTTGAAAAAAATGGCAGTCTTGTAATATTTTCAAACAACTTTGAAAGAAGTCTGGGTCAAATGCAACCCAAAGGCTTTTACCAAGTAAATCTGGGGAGGGGGCCGAGTGCACCTAGGCAGAGCACAAAATGTTCCATGGTGCTAGACATTTTTCAGGCCCAAGATAATAATCTCTCCTTCGCCTAAATTTAGAAGCAAGAAGTTTGATAAGACAGAGACCTGGAGATCTGGTCATCCTCACCAGATTTGCATGAATTAAAAAGACAAACCTATACAAGAAATATTTAGAAAAGTATTTATTTTCAGTTTTAAAATGGAAACAATCTTTTTGACTAATAGAGTTCAACTCCATGTGCATTAGCACCACAAACAAAGCAGTGGGTTCTTCCAGCATGGCTATACCTCAAGAAACTGCACTCAGGAACACAGGGTCTCTACACAGATGCTTTGGTAATGGCATTCACACTCAAAACTCAGGACACATACCCAACAAATACACTGCCTAATATACAGATATAAACTGGCTGCAACTGAGCATAATTTGCCACCTATTAAATTAAATTGTAAAGCATTGTCAGGGTTTTCACAATAACTGATCATTAATTATAAAATAAGTTTCCCAAATATCAAAATTACCATGTGACAGTTCGATTATATCTGACATCATACCTGGCAGTGACCACATCATCCCATTAAATGGGCTCCTATTTTTCTGCATACAAAGGAGCGTCATACATTACTACACTGCTAATATAAATTAGCCAAAAGGAAAACAAAGGATGCTGTTTTTGAGCTGCATTTACACACACCTATTATACCTGAATTATGGGCTTTCATTCACTTTGGTGGCACTTGCGATATTCTGAATGTTTGACATCACTTTTTAAAATTTGACAGGCATTGAGACTTCCATAGATTGAAACCCTTGGTTGACCTTGTCATATTACACTATGTATAAATATCACAGCCAATCAGGATGTCAGCTCCGCCCCCGAGCTTCTCCTCCAATCATGGCTGTCTCATGTGGTGTTAGGACTGCTCAGAGGGCTTGGCGTTATTCTTCTTCAGGACTTTCAGCAGGCTGTCCGGCATCAGGTAAGGCCGCTCTGCACTTCCGTCATTTCTCTCCAAATCTTCCACTGGAAGGAAGGAAGGAAGGAAGTGAAAGAAGAGAAAAGGTTGGGAAGGGATTGAAGAAAAGAGATGCCAAGAATCAGAGAAAATGTAATGCTCAATAGCAAATATGTCATCCATTTCAGACACAAACTCTAACATTGAAGCATCCCCACAGGACAAGCACACGTACACCATATACCACAACTTCACA